CCTGGTAACGCATATGTGACGAATAGAGTTTAACTTTAAATAAACACCCAACTACATAGAAAGAAAACCTCAAACTTAGTTATTTTGTCATAGTCTTTAATCTGTTAACTTTCCATTTGCTTTATTATTTACCACTAATGTGGCACAAATTAATGATGTGCAAAAAAAATCAAACAAATTGAGAAAAAACAAAACAAAAATGTTAGATTCATGTCTCTTGCTTAAGAAATGTAGCAACACTTCTATTTATTTATTATTATTTTTTTTACATTATTTTTTGCTCATTCTAGATAATCCCGTCGGGCAAAAAAAAAGTAAAATCTCATCTGAGAAAAAATCATCAAGCCTCAAATGAAATTAATTACAGAAATACAGACTTGTAAAAGAGTCAAAATAGAAAATGCATTTCATTTCAATTTTCACATTATTTCTCTAAATAAAACATCTGTTTCTAAGATCTTAATATTAAAAACACTTTTCAAAGTTAATAAACGTTAATTATCAACTTGTAAAATATTAATTTTCTCTCAAAATTTAAAACCATGCAAACATGATACTTATACCTGGAAAGGGCAGTTGCTCCATCGCTCCAACATATCATATCACCAAGATTTACGTAAGGCCACTATGTGATCTCTAAATGCAAAAAGACACATAATTTGTCATCTTAGTGTAGCAATCCTCTTATCCAGTGGTGTAAAGTGTCGACTGTTGTTTTCATTTTGACTTAATGGTCTTACCTTCTAATGGTTCAATAGATTCCTACACCCAGGGTTTAACCTCTTTTCCCTTGCATATCTTTAAAAACAAAAAAAAAAAAAAAAAAAAAAAAAAAGATTGAAATAAAAACTTTCAAAAGAAAAACATGTATTTATCGCTAATATCAAATTTCCTTACTTAGACTCCAAAAACACCATCGGTTGCCAAGAGAGTTATAAAATTTACAATCTTATCAAATTTACAGTCAAACCAAAGGAAAACCCTACCAAAACATACTTAAGCATCTATGAACAATGTAAACCATCCTTTGTAATTTCAATCAAAACAATCTAAATTTTATTTTTTAACATAGCCATGAACCTCACAAAATAAATTTATTTATTTCTTCCCTAAATCCTTCAACCAATGAATCGATTAACATGCATGTGAAGTAGAGTAAGATGTCAAACGCAATACAAACCAACTGTCAGATCCAACTGAAAAAACGAAGATGAAAATAGAAGAACTTACATTAGCCATCTTGGATGAAGAAATTAAAACCAGTAAACAAAATCCAAATCGACTGGTAAAAAGATTACACTAATATAAATTATTAACTTTGAAGAGAACTTATAGCACTACATGCATAACAGTAAGTAATTTAATTACTGTTATGAGTGAGCTGGTTGCCACCATCATTTTGATCCGACCATGCCAAGCTGTTGGCAGTGAAAGAAATGATATGTATCAGCTCATGAAAACCTAATCTAACTATTTTTGAGGGGGTTTTAGTAAAATAATTGAAACTATAAAGAACTAACAGACAAACTATTTTTGAGGGGGTTTTAGTAAAATAAAGTTGTTACCAGGATACCCAGATTCATTACAGAGTAATAGGTTACATGCTTATCTTTGTAACCATACGTTTGGCTTTGTCAAGTCGGGTTGGATGAGTGAGTCAGACAATGGAAGGAAGGTGGCAGTAGAATTGAAATTTTGGTGGGTCTATGTGTATCAATCGCCATTTGTTGTCGCCTCCTTCTCCGGCCTCCATCGATAACTTCTTTAAAGATTATGTCATTTTACTCTAGGATCTGCTATTGATGCGCTCCCTTTGCTTTGACCTGAAATAGCTGATGCTTAAAAGGCCTGATGCCGATGACGGGAAATCGGGGGCTTCTTCTTCTTCCTAAAAAAAGGCCGATTGTTGAACTCACAAAGAAGAAAAAGGCAAGATAACACAAAATCGAGGAAGTGATTACCACAAAAAAGATAAAGGATTGAATAGCGAGGCAGTAAGATGAATCAACGAAGATATTGAGCAAAACACAACAAACCTCGAAAATACGATTGTAAGAAAGCACATTCGGAAGAACAATGTCACCTTAGAACAGAAAACACACAACTACATATGAGTAGTGGTTGCTATCGTTGGCACAAATCAAGAGAATGGTGGGGATGGCGGTGATATATAATCTATGGTTTCTGCAGGCGATGATTGTTGGGTTTTGGTGAGATGCTTTGATGGTGGTGTCGATCATTGGGGTTGTTTGGCTTATTTTTGAGAGGCCAAAATTTTTACTAAGACGTTTGGTAAAAGGATTTTAAAAGCTATTTTTGGATTTTTTATATAAGAAAAACTGACTTTTTGGAAAAGTCAGGAAAACCTGACTTTTTGTAACTTTTCCAAAAAAGACTTTTGCCTCTAAAAAAGATAAGTCAAACACCCCCTTAACATGTAAGCCAAACAAAAACCCTAGAAAATCAGAAAGAAGTAGAAAAAACCCTCGTGGATGGACCGTTGAAACCATAGCATTCGCGAAGCAGGGGGTATGAAATAAAAGGCACAGGCGGTGGAAAGAAGATTCATGTGAAGCATATGTGAAGCCGTGGAAGATTTGTGGAAGTCATTTATTCGGTAACAAAGTAGTAAAATTTCACATATACATACATGTGTCAAAGACACTAATCTACAACTGCTAAGGAAAAAAAAACAAATAAGAAAAAACAGAAGTGGTCCAATAGGAACAGATCTTAAGGGTACCTCCCCTCTCTCTTTCTCTCTCTCTCTCTCTCTCTATATATATATATATATATATATATATATATATAGATATATATATATATATATTATATATATATATATATATAACAATTGAGTTGTTGGTAATTTTTTTCATTAAATATTCTAAGAAAATTAGAGATGCAAATTTAGTCTATTTTAGTATTTTAGGCGTTTCAAGGTGCTTAAAAATATGTTTTTCCTTTAAGTGGTTGAGGGTTTAAATTATGTCGTAAAAAAACATGTAGTTTATAAATAAGATTTAAGTGTGTTGACAGTTTGTTATAATTTGTTAATAACATGTTAGAAATTTTATTTACACTACTACAAAATAACACGTAGAATACTCTTAAAATGAAACATAGAATATGGTTTTGCAGCCGTACTCTATAAGGGGGTTTCCTATTCAAACATGTAATACAATACAGTTGTAAACCGTACTCTATAATCATCATATAGTACGATTTTCTAGATAATACAGTACGGTTGTAAAACCGTACTCTACAATCATCATAAAGTATGGTTTTTTAAATAATACAATACGGTTGCAAAATCAATACTCTATAATCATTATAAAATACGATTTTAGGGTTTTTTAAAAGTAGTTTATTCTTTAACGAAACAAATAGAATACTGCCTTTTCAATGTAACCGTACTCTTTATAAAATAGTGTAAAGTACGGTTTCTTATTGCCTAAGGACATTCTAAATAAATATATTTCATAAATTAAATACAATAATTACACTTTTCTATAAAAAACATGCCTATAAATAATTTATACACACAAACATTTCATGAACAATCAGAATGTATATAAAAGTCAAAACAAAAGCATGATTAGTCATTAATTTCTAAAATTAACAATATCCAATTCAAACATAATTTGCAATAAACCAAACTTGTCCATCCTAACCAACGAAAATTAAATATATAAAAAGACAAATAGATCCATTTGGTAGATGTCAAACTCCATAATTGCAGCCACATACCTGCCATATAAGAGAAGAAAAGAAACTAAAAGTTGCAACTAATGGAAAAAAGGGAACATATAACTGTCATGAGAAGAAAAAACTAAGTTAATTGCAAGAAATAGCAACATAGTTTCATTTATTTGTTTATTGAGACATCCTACTACCATTTCTTCCTGTTGTTATACATTGAGACATATATCCCATAATAGCAAGATCCTTCTAATTCAAAGTATTTTTTACAATATATATATATATATATATATATATATATATATATATATATTTCGTAGTTTAATGTCCTAATAAGATAAAGATTTGAAAGTACGATGCTACAGTAGGTTCATTTTTAAAAGTACAATGTCTTCATGAGTTTTTTTAGGTACAATGTTGTATAAAATGAAATGCAAGTGCAATGTTATAATAATCAAGTACATTAAAGTAAAATGATATAATAAACAATTAGGTAAGAATAACTAACCCTTCAAAGGGGACTTGACTCAAATACTTACTCTCAAACCTTGAACTCCACATAATGATGATTTCATTTAACACCCAATCCGGAAACAATTTTTTATCGTTCTAGTTGTGCTATATATAAACTAAAAAATAAATTATAATTTAATATAGAATGTTTAACATATTAGACAAATTGCACAAAGATTTAAGATACTTACTTTGTTTGGGAATTCATTTTGTCGAGTCAACACGAACTCAAACATCCATCTCATGACATAAAAACCACACTCCCAACCTGATGGTTGTTGGTTGCACTACAAATATGAACAATAAAGGATTAGAGAACTTTTACTTTGAACCTAGGGCTTTGATCTGATGATGGAACATGATGATGGAACAGGTTCCGTGTTCCAGGTATCAGTTTTTATTAAAAAAAACTTAACAAGAAGCAAGTTCAGGGTACCCATGAAGTACTTTTACCTCGACAAGTGTCCAATTATTTGGATGTGTTGTGTCGGTATCTTCCTTAAGCCTTGCAACAACCCTAAGTGATGATTAAAAAAAATAAAAAAAAAGCCATAGAAAGAAATAACGGTCGGAAATACAAAAAGATTTCTTACTCTTCGACATATTTCACGACTATGTAGTTCTCCACGGGCTTCTCATCCGGATTTTTTTGGGAATCCAAGATATACCCTGTGCCTTGGTTAGGGCAGATTACTAGCAGCATCCAATGCAATCTAGTAATGTTAATACATTTTAGTATACACAATAAAAAAAATAAAGCCAATAAAAATGAAAGCAGTAAGATTCAATACCCTTGCCAATAGGGTGCGACAAAAAATTGTTTGTCTTTATGGAAGCGCATTGCATCAACAATGTAACTTACAACATCCTCACCATTTGACTCGTATATCGTTGCCTGAATCTCACTCGGGGAAATGAAAGCACATTTGTTCACTTTATTCCCACCATGTGTTTCAAGCATTGAATCAAACATGCTACAAACCAAAAAGTATACATTATAAATGTAAATACTATAAACGAAAATAATTTAAACGTTGTTGTTTGTACTTACATTTGAAACCAAGTTATGACGCTAATATCAAGCCATTGTTTATTCAACAGACGTAAAATCTCCTCAGGGTAATGTACGTTTCAATTTCCAATCCCATTGAGCACACATGTTTCTTCGCTTGATATAATGAAATAGGTAACTCATTTTCTTCGGGAAGCATTTCATGCAATATCTCCAATAGGCTTGTGAAACTCTTATCACTCCAACCATCGTTTGCTTTTAAGTTAAGAAACTTTAGAACGGCTGAAAGTTTGGTAAATTTTGTACATCCAACATACAATGGTTTTTCAGAGTCTTCAAACAATTGTTGGAATTTTTGATGATATTTTTCCGCAACATTATCCTCGAGATCATGCAACATGTCATCTAAACCATCACAACTGTCATTATCCAAATGATCACCAGCCTCATCATTACTACACTCTGGAACAATTGTATCATGATCAATTAACAATTCACCATGTCGTGACCATCGTGTATACCCACTCATAAACCCCTCACATATTAGATGTTCTTGTATTATTGCAGAATCATTAAACTTATGACAATTTTGACACTTTTCACAAGGACACCAGATGTGACTTTCTCATTTATTCTTCCGATCATCCTCAACTATTTTAATAAAATCAAGCAAACTTGCCAAATATCTTTTGCTAGCACGTGGTATTTCATACATCCAAGTGTTACGATCCATCTGGAATTTAAATAATAAATTAACAAGCACTATAATGCATGCATAATATACCAAATGTTATTCCAAGTAGCAAAAATCCTAACCCACTTTTTAAATATTTTTTGTCCATGTAAACATGCATTAAGATATTGACTACTTAAGAAGAAACAAACAACATTTCCTTTTAACTCTCCAAATTTGACTAAAATAATCAACTATATCTTATGGCAAACATACATGACTTTGTTCTTATTTATTTAACTCGAATTACATCCTATAAACTATGTGCAATTTAGTAGGTTATTATGTAGTGGAATACATAACTAAATCACAAACATTGATATTTTATTATTATTATTATTATTATTATTATTATGTTTAACAAGTAAAAAACTAAATAAATTAAACAAATACAAAAATGCTTCCAGAAAATACGGGTCAAATAATCTCACTGTTTTTATTTATATTTTAAATTACAATCTCTTATATATGATTTTTTTTTTACTTATAATATATTATATTAGGCCGTTTGGAATACCGGAAACGAACCTCGTCGTGGTCTAGCTAGCAACGAACCACGAATGTGAACACCACCCTGATCCTCTCGTTGTGCTGACCTGGAGCCACGGTCGTGGTCTCTCGTGCTTCCCACCACAACCCACCATGACCAATCTTCTTCTCTCTTCCTCTCTTCTTCTCTATTGTAGGTGAAATCGACCACCACCACAATCACAATGTGATGAGTATACTGACTTCATTGTGGAAGGAAGGTGGAAGGCGATGATGCTGAGGTGGTGGTGAGGGTGATGGTGGCGGGTAGTGGTGGGTGGGTGGTGGTAAGGTGGGTGGTGGTAAGGTGGGTGGTGATGGATGGTGGAGGCGGGTGGTGGGTAGGTGGTGGTTGGTTGTAATAGCGGTGGTGGGTAGTGGTGGTTGGTGGTAATGGCGGTGGTGGGTGGTGGTTGTCTTATTGGTGGTGGGTGGTGGTGATGGGTGTGGTGGTGGAGAATTATGGTGATGGGTGGTGGAGGCGGGTGGTGGTGATGGATGGTGGTGGGTGGGTGGTGGTGTTGGTGGATGATAGGTGGTGAGTGGTGTAAGTTAGCGGTAGGTCGTAGGTGGTGGTGGTGTATGGTGGTTTTGGTAGGTGATGAGTGGGGTGGTGGCAATGGACGATGGAGGTGGGTAGTGGTTAGTGGTGATGGTGATCTTAGTGGGTGGTGATGATGGATGATGGAGGTAGGTGGTGGTGGGTGGTAGGTGGTGGTAGTGGTGGTTGGTGGTCATAATGGTGGGTGGTGGAGGTGGGTGGGTGGTGGTTATGGTAGGTGGTAGGGGTGGTGGGTGGTGGGTGGGGGGGGTGGTGGAGGGTAGTGGTGATGGTGACGGTAGTGGTGGTGGCGGGTGGTGGATGGTGGATGTGGTTGGCGGTAGCGGGTGGTGACGATGGTGGTGGGTGGTGGTTTTTGTGGGTGGTGGTGATGGGTGGTCGTGGTGGGTAGTGAGTGGTGTTGGTTAGTAGGCTTTTTAATTTTTTTACTTATTTTTTTGATTTATATTAATATTATTTGATGATTTGAATTTTAAAAAATTGTATAGTCAAAATTGTTTTCAAATGTTCTCAAATATATATACGAGTATAAATAATATATATATATATATATATATATATATATATATATATATATATTATTTATAAATAAAAAGAGTAAGCTTAATAAAATCTATAAAAATATTTAGATAGTGTTTTGTATATTCATGGTATTAATATATATTTTAAAGGATTATTTAATAATTAGTTGTACTTTTAATATAATAATAAGAATAAAATCTAAATTATATTATTTAATTAATAAAATTATTTTTTATAGATATATCACTTAAATAGAAAAGGATTAAATAAATATAAATAGTATGTCGTGATTGTGTTTCAATATATATTAATATTAATATTTAAATATATAAAGTAATAAAAAAAACAAAGGGTTATATATGATATCTAAGGAGGATATAATAAAGAGTGCTGCTAATAAGACACCTCTTAAACACCTTATTCTGAATTTTATAAAAAAATCAATCTATAATTTGTAAAACAGAGAATTCGATTGAATGTTTTTGGTTTTTCATATATATTCACAATTACAATGAGATACATATATAGGACTAGTACAACAGAAATCCCATGGAACAAGGAGCTATACACAGACTCGATAGGACACACAATACTTTCTATAGTTATCGGATTTTATCAATAATATCCAAACTTAGCTTGATTCTTGTTACTACTCTCGCCAACACTCCCCCTCAAGATGATGAATGGATGTCGATCATTCTCAGCTTGTTAAGAGAGTTGTAAAATGCATTCGTACACACTGCTTTAGTTAACATATCCGCCAACTGATCCTTTGATGTAGCATGTGGTAGCTTGATTGTTTTCTTTTCTAAGTGGTCTCTTATAAAATGTCGATCTACCTCTACGTGCTTAGTTCGATCATGAAGTACTAGATTATTAGCAATCTTCACTGCTGCCTGATTGTCACAATGAAGATTCATAGATTCCCTAACTTCAAAACCCAGATCTCGCATAATTCTCTTGATCCACAGAAGTTCACAAACACCATGCACCATCCCACAAAATTCTGATTCAGCACTAGAGCATGCTACCACCTTTTGTTTCTTGCTCCTCCAAGTTACCAAGTTCCCTCCAACAAATGTGAAATACCCTGATGTTGACTTCCCATCCGACTTATCCCCGGCCCAATCAACATCAGTATACCCTTCCACTTCAAGACTTCCAGTTTTAGCAAAAAACAAACCTTTTCCTGGAGATGACTTAAGATAGCGTAGGAATCTAATCACCGCTTTCATGTGATCTTCATTTGGTGCGTGCATAAAACGACTTACTACACTCACAGCGTATACAATATTCGGCCGGGTATGGGATAAATAGATAAGTTTCCCAACTAGTTTCTGGTACCATTATTTATTCGTTGGAGCCTTGTTGGAGAGAAGAGTCAGCCCATGATTTTTTCAATCGGCGTGTCAATGGGTTGACATTCTAACATTCCTGTCTCTGTGAGAAGATCAAGTGTATACTTTCGCTGACACATGGTAATACCTCGACTGGATCTCGCCACCTCAATACCTAAAAAATATTTCAGTTTTCCCAGGTCTTTCAACTCGAACTCAGCACCCAAAACATCTTTTAACTTGTTCATTTCATCTTCATCATCGCCTGTCACCACCATGTCATCAACATACACAATAAGGGTTGTAACTTTTCCTTCGTTGTTCTTAACAAACAATGTGTGGTCAGCATCCCTCTGCTTGTACCCAATACCCTTCATGAACTTTGAGAATCTCCCGAACCAAGCTCTGGGTGACTGTTTTAAGCCATAAAGAGCTTTATTAAGCTTACACACCTTGTTACCAAAATTCATTCCCAGTGGAGGATCCATATACACTTCTTCTTCTCAATTACCACTCAAAAACGCGTTTTTTACATCATATTGTCTCAGTGCCCATTCTTTGTTTGCTGCTATTTTGATAAGAATACGGATAGTATTAATCTTCGCCACCAGAGCGAAAGTATCTCCGTAATCTATACCGTATTTTTGTGTATAGCCCTTCGCGACCAACCTGGCTTTCAATTTTTCTATCTTCCCAGAGGAGTCGAGCTTTATAGTAAATATCCATCCACATCCAACAGGTTTTTTTCGTGGAGGAAGAACTACCTCATCCCACGTCTAATTCTTTTTTAAGGCATCCATCTCTTCTTGAATAGCTTTCCTCCACCTTGGATCTTTAAGTGCTTCTTGAACCGAATTCGGTATGACTACAGTTGACAATTCTTCCACCATGGTTTTTTGCGTATTCGCCAATTTATCTGTAGATACATAGTGATTGATCGGATATTTGGACTTTGATGTCAACTCTGGTTGATATTTTCTCTTTGGTACTCCCCTATTTTGTCTCACGGGATATCTCGGGGTTACGTGTTCATTATTAGTTTCAGGAGACATAGATGAGATATCTGTAACACCCCGTTTATTAAATAAATAAACAATATTAAATAAACTAAATAAATAAATGAACCTCGGGATGAGAAATATATTTTTATATTATTTGTTCGAGCCCTAAATCCATAATAATTAAGGAATGTTATCCATGGAAGTTAATTGTCATAATTTTTGGAATTGTGGGGGTTATGTGTAAATTTTGGAGCTACTTTGTAAAGATTTTCGAGGGCAAGGGCTAAAGTGTAAGTTTTGTAGTTAAATTGAAAACAAAATTGGGAGGAGGGGCCAAAGTTGGATATTCGGATCGAAGTTTGGAGGAACACGTGATATACACGGTAACCTCTTTACCCTACTGTTACATTGCAAACCCTAGCACATTCTTTCCCAACTGCCACCATCTTCTTCCCCACCCTCCCAGCCGTCATCCCCTCGCCACCACCAAAGAATCACCGAAGCAGCCATCGACCTGGTTCAGCCCACGTCCGCCGCCGTCATGTTGTTGTTGCTGTTCGTGGGTGTTGTTTCTGTTCTTGGTTGGGTCGCACGCATCCTCTTCTCCGCTTCAGCCCAAGACCGTAAGGTGGTGGCTGCTGTCGTGAGCCGTCGTTGACCACCACTACCTGATGTGGTAGTGGGTGGTGCCCGAATAGCAAAACCCTAATTGACCTAATGAGACCCCAATAGGCTTAAAGATTTAGTTTTGGGCCTATTGGGCTATGATTGGGTGGGAAACCCTAATTAGGGTTTAGAAAACCCTAATTTTGGATATATGGGCCTTGGACTTATTGGGACCCACAT